TTCCTGAGGAAGATAACACGGAGTATCGTTCTCGGGCAAGTAAACCCATGAATTCCTAACCAGCGATCGTATTTCTATATCGAAACAGTTTGAGATGATAAACGACCTTGTTTTTCTCTCACAGGAGTATAGAGGTGCACGGCTGCACCCAGTGGTCCAGGTACGCGTACTTGCACCATAGTGCACGAACGATTCCCAGAGCGGCGAAAAAGTTGAGAACTGCTTGAAAAGCCGACGAGGAGGAGCTGGAAGACGGAAAAGTCGGTAGGATCGAAGATACGTGGAGGTCTTCGCGTGGGGCGAGGCCACCATGTTTCTTGAGGAATTGAGTATCTCGTTCTCACCCGGAGGTTCAGCTTCGTGTCCTCCCAGTCTGGTTCTCGGCGTGCGAGCCGATCGGCCACCTTGGGTCTCCTGCGGGTGGCGAACGGACCAGCCTGTCTGCTTCCTTCGCACCGGTACACTCGGGCTCTTTCGTTTGTCTCACTCCTGATGCACCCCCACCGTCACTCCTGATCCTCTTCATCCGCCTCATCCTCCAGAGGTACCTCGACCTTCCACCTCCTCGTCTACCTAGGCTCCTCCGCCCCTGGTGGATCTGCTCCAGAACGTCTCTATCATCCAGGTTCGCACGAGTACAGTATACAGTGCGTGGACGTTCATAAATCTCCAGGAGTTCCCTCCAGTGAGGAATCAAGGAATTGGTGGGTCCTTGTTCCTGGTATACGTCTCAGGACAGGACCAGAGCTAGGCGAGGAAGTCGCAAAAGTCGCCGAAGGATGCTTTCCCACGCCCAGATATCGGAGGGCCTGTAATAAGGAGGGAGCCGCGGTATCGACTCCTATCTTGAAATTTTGGACACCCGGAGCACGTCGGGTTATTGGTAGGTATATCGTCGGGCCGGAGCCCGAAAATCCCAGGAAACGAGGAACAAATTATCTCGTCAGACAGACACTGGGGTCCTGGGCCCGCCGGAGAGAGAAGAAGAGGAGCGGATAGTCGGCCGCTCGAGTTGAGTACCAAAGAGAGCGTGATAGAGGCAGAGGGGTAGAGCCGTGGGGGGGTTTGAGAGAGAGAGAGAGAGAGAGAGAGAGAGAGAGAGAGAGAGAGAGAGACTCGAAGGTGGGTCCGACTTGTTCTCTCCTCCCTGTTACTCTCTATAACTAACTAACCCAGCGCCTAGCGCCCCGCGTGTCGGCACAGGCGGCTCCTTTCTTACCTGATGAACGCTCCGAGAGGAACGCACACACAACGAGTCCTGGAGTGGGCGCCTGGTCGGACGCCGACGCCGACGCGTACGTAGACGCACACGCGAGCATCTCACACTAATGGTGACGAGGGACAGGGTTGAGAGGGAC